AAATGACGAGTTAACCAAAAAGATTGCAGATATGGAGCAATACAGTAGGCTCAATAACATTGAAATCAAAGGAGGAGGAGGAATAAATGAGGAAGAACAGGGAGGTTAGCCAGTTCTGAGACCAGCTGGCTACCCTGTACTGGGGAAGAGGGGGGGATAAGGGATGAGAGAAAAGAGACGTTGTAAAAAAAAGAGAGAGAGAAGGTCATCAGACGATCCACGACGCTGTTTACAGTCTGTCTCTAAGACCACTTGCCCGCAGAAAGCGCATGAACGCTCTCAATGCCTTGCGTGCAGAGGATGGTCTCGGCCAGTGTCCTAATACCCTTTCTTCCGACAATTGGCGATTGTCTATTCTATCTAAAGCTTTTGACAGTTCTTTTCTTGGCACGCTGAAGCGGGGACACTCGCAGAGAAGATGGGAGAAAGTCTCTGCGCAGCCACATTTGTCACATGTCGGGCTTCTGGCCATTCCGATTCGAAACGAATAAGCATTCGTAAAGGCCACCCCAATCCACAGACGGCACAAAAGTGTCTCCTCTGCTCTGGTTATTCCTGATGGAAGACGGAGCTGTAGGTGTGGGTCCAAATTATGAAGGCGGCCGTTGGTGAATGCCGGTGAATTCCACTGAGCGAGTGTCAGTTCTCGTGCAAGTGATCGAAGCCTTGCAGCGGCGTCCGTTCTTGATAATGGTATAGCTACGCAAGGGCCATCATCATGAGCAGTTCGGGCTGCTTCATCTGCAGGGTCGTTTCCATCAATGCTGCAGTGGCCTGGTATCCATTGATATGCTATGTCATGTTGGTTCTCAATAGCCCGGTGATGAAGCAGTCGTATTTCAGCAATTAGCTGTTCGTTTGGTCCATGACGATATGGCGAGGCAATGCCCTGGAGAGCTGCTTTGGAGTCGGAGAATATTGACCATGTCTGTTGCGGTTCTTCAACTAGGAACTCCAGAGCGGCCCGAATGGCGGCGAGTTTTGCCGCCGTGGATGGTGTCAGATGCGAGGTCCTGAACTTTATCGTGATGGATTTCTCCGGAATTACCACTGCGTCTGTTGAACTTGTTGTAGTGACCGACCCATCCGTGTAAATGTGAATGCGTCCACTGTGTTTCTCATGCAGAAACAGTAATGTTGTTTGTTTTAGGGCCAAATTTGACAATTTTTTCTTATTTTGCATTCCGGGGATGGTTATCAGGGCTTCCAGTGGATGTAGACACCACAATAGTAACGACGGTCTTGCTGCGTGCGTGAAGTTCGTGGGAATCACCGTGCGATGTGGGGCAATAATAGAGCAGAACGCAGAGCATGGCCTGGAAGTTGGAAGGGAGGCGAGGTGATGTGATAGAATCCGGGTGGCTTGTCTTATGTGCGTTCTTAAAGCATTGACACGAATGTAGGTTGTGATAGGGTGTTCATGAGCGATTGCGACAGTCGCTGCTGAGGATGCGCATCTCGGCAGCCCGAGGCATATTCTCAGTGCTTGAGCTTGTAAGGACTGGAGGACGTGTACGTTTGTTATGCGGGCCTTGCCAAGCACAGGTAGGCTGTATCGCATGATGCCAAGAAAAAGTGCAGCATACAGTTGAAGCATGGCTCGTACCGATGCACCCCATGATTTTCCCGCAAGAAACCTTAGGACGTGGGTGATCATGGTCAGTTTCTTCTTCATGTAAGCGATATGAGGGCTCCAAGACAAATCACGATCTATTATTACTCCTAGGAAACGGTGAGTCTTTTGATAGCTGATTGTGTGTTCATTAATTCTGATGCGGTATGGCGTCATTGTCTTGCGTGTAAACGCAACTAGTGAGCATTTCTCATATGACAGCTCCAGTCCTCGTCCTTGAAGGTAGTTTGACGTCAGTGTAGCCGCTGTCTGAAGCCTGGCTCGTACGTGTAGACGCGTGACCCCTGATGCCCAGATGCAGATGTCGTCCGCGTATATCGACAGATGTACGGAGTGTGGCAGGACGTCAACGAGGCCGATTATTGAAATCAAAGGTGTTCCATGTACACAAGCCGAGAACTGCGCAGTTCTTTTAAAAACCATTGCACAAGTGATTGATTGTCCTATTTCATAGACAGATATTGATGCAGTTCATCGCGTCGCCAGTAAAACAGCTGACAAGTGCATCATCGCGGGCTTTTGTTCACGCGAGAAGAAAAATGAGTTCCTTCGCAAAGCGCGTAAGGCGCGACTGCGTGCTTCCCAGTTAGGACTATTTGGAAGTAATGACAATCCAGTCTTTGTCAATGAACATCTTACCATTGCCGATAAAAAGCTGTTTAGTTAAGCGCTTGTTCTAAAAAGGGAAAAAAATGGCGGTTCCTCTGGACAAAGAGTTGTCATGTCAAGGCCCGCAAGACAGAAGACAGCAGGGTATTTTGGATTAATACGGAATCTGATCTAAACTTATTCACGTGACGTTGACAAATTTGGTTCGCTTTTCCCTTTTCCCACCTCATAGCTTTCGTCGTGTATCATCATGTAGTTGCGTCTTTTCGAGGAAACTAAATCCCTCCTTGCTAATTCTACTTGTTCATTGCTGCACATCAATGCGCGTAGTTTGCCAAAAAACTACGATAACACTATTGGATTCACTGACTTACTCTGTCATTCCTTTTTATTTTTATGTATTACTGAAACATAGCTAGGATCTTGTGATGGCAATCTGTACGGATTTTGATCGTTTAACTCTGAATATTGTCACCGTGATTCGGGTCGCTATGGCGGCTCGGCCGTATTTATATCGCCCGAGATAAAGTACAAGCGCAGGACTGACCTATCTTTGAATATTCCGAACTGTGAATCTGTATGGATCGAAGCTGCCTTCCCCTCCTTTGTTAATCTAAATAAAGTGATCATTGCATGCATTTACCGTTCTCTATCTTCGTCTATTCCGCATTTTCTGCAAAATTTAGTTGCTGTAGTCGACATTATCACCGCTGAAAATAAGCAAGTTGTTTTGGTTGGTGATATCAACATTAACCGAATGGATACAGATAACAGCATCATAGCATATAGTGATTGTTTCCTTGGCTTCGGGCTTGAGTCCTTAAACTCATCCCCTACTCGATTTTCACCCACTGGAACAAGCACGCTCATTGACCATGTATTAAGCAATTTTTCGCCAACCCCTAGCGCAGGAGTCAATGATGTGTGCATCACTGATCATCATCCTGTCTTTGTAACTTTCGCCGTGAATCTACCTCGCCTTAACACGTGCCATTTCACGTCAACCTTCGATCAGGAAAACTTTATCAAGGCAATTCAAGGCTCTGAGTGGTCTTCCATTAGCACCTTAGAAAATCGTGAAGAAGCACTAGGCGGCTTCTGCTCCCTATTTCTTAAAGCTGTGCATGCAAATACTAAAACGGTTAAATGCAAGAAAATATATAGGTTTCAACGTAATCCCTGGTTAACTCAAGGCTTGTTAACTAGTATGCGGAAAAAAGATAATCTCTACAGGAAAACAAAAAACAGCCATTTAATGTGAATTTGAGACTTAGGTATAAAAAATAATAAACTGCTGAAACAATCAAAACGACTATATTATGAAAAAGAATTCTGTAAAGCCAGAAATGACCCAAAGAAAAAAATGAAAACTTTTCAATGACTTTTTAAAGAGACCTCAGGTTAGTAATGTAATTGATAAAATTAGTTATAAACAGCAAATATGTACTGAGTCCTCTGACATAGCCGAGTCTTTTAGTGATTACTTTTATGAAATATACAATGATAGGCCCAAAGTATCCTCGCACACCCTTACCCGCTGTGTCCATTCATTCTTTTTATTTCCTGTTACCATTGACGAAGTCTATTCTACAATCCTGAGTCTAAAAAACTGTAGCGCTGGACTAGACAATGTATCGCCGTTTCATTTAAGACTTGCTGCTCCAGACATCTCGGAAGTCTTGAGCAATATAATTAATGTCATTTTTAAACATGGTATATTTCCCAGCTCACTGAAAAAAGCCAAGTTAATCCCAGTACACAAAAAAGGTGATACGACAGATGTCCGTAACTACCACCCTATTTCTATTTTGTCTTCCATCAGCAAACTTATTGAAAAATTATTTCTGAAACGTATTAACAAGTACCTCAATAAATTTAAGCTGCTAAAGCCTTGTCAATTCGGCTTCCGGGCTGGTAGTTTTACGAATTTAGCATTGCTATCATTAACCGATTTCTTGAAAACGTCCATCGACAACGGTAATTTCACAGGGTCTGTATTTCTTGATTTCACGAAAGCCTTTGATAACATTAGTCATAATATTTTATTTAGCGAATTAGAGTCCTTGGGTATCACTGGCCCATCCTTGACCTTCATAAAAACTACCTTCTTGATCGTGAACAATCAGTCTGCATTGGGGGCGTTAATTCTAATGTTAAAATAATTAATCAAGGGGTCCCACAGGGTTCTATTCTTGGACCCTTACTGTTTTGTATCTATATAATGATTTGCCTGACTGCCTTGAAGATTCTAAAGTTATTCTTTACGCTGATGATACGACCATTTCCATCTCGCATAAATCATTACCTACTCTGATCAATTTGTTGAACAAAGAAGTGACTAATGTCGTTGAATGGTGTCGCTTAAACAACTTAATTTTAAACCCGTTCAAAACTCAGTTCATGGTTTTTAAAACATCACAAAAAATGCTACCTTTCATTCCACAAGTGTTCATTGACAATCATTTCATTCCTGCGTCTAACTGTGTGTGTTTTCTGGGCGTAAAATTAGACCCTCATTTAGAGTTCACCAATCATATTCTTTACGTCAAACAAAAAACAGCATTTGGTATTGTTGTGTTCATATCGCGATAGGCTACACCTGTCGTAGTTGTCAAGTTGCGGTGATAAGTGAATGATCGCCACTGCGCATGTGTAACCTGGAGCCACTTGTATATAGGGGCGTGTGCCCTATGTTACGGTGTTCGTTGTGCTGTTGTGAGGCTGCCCTTTGGCATGCCTGAATAAAGGATTCGAAAAGCATGCCCTGGCTCTGAAGTTACAACATGATTGGCGACGAAGATGGGATCCAGACAGCAGGAAAAACAGCAGCTGTTCGGGGTGGTGCCATGCTCGGAAAGCTTCCAGAGTTCGATCCGGACGGTGACAACTGCGATGTTTTCTTCGAGCGATTTGAGTGTTTTGCAGCTGCTAACGACATCGCAGAGGATAAGAAGTTGCAAGTGCTATTGACGTCCATCGGGGAGAAGGCATACGTCACGCTGAGGAGCCTTCTTCTGCCGAAAACGCCTACCCAGGAGACGTATGACGTGGTCATCGCAACGCTGAAAAAGCACTATACCCCAAAGTGCTCCGTGGTTACGGAAAGATACCGTTTTAACCAACGCAATCAAGAACCGCACGAAAGCATCAGCGACTTCATAGTAGGACTCAAGAAACTGGCTGCAACATGTGAGTTCGGCACATTTCTTGAGCAAGCCCTGCGAGATCGTCTCATCGCGGGATTGTGTTCCGACAGCATACGGTGCAGGCTTCTGGCGACACCTGATGCAGAATTAACCTGGGAGCGCACCTGCAGCATTGTAGCAGCCATGGAATCTGCTACTAGAGGCACTCGGGAAATGGTGGCGACCCTCGCAACAGGGACCCCCGTCGACAGCGACGTTCACTGGAACAAGGAAACGGCAGCTGGACAACGGCCAGCACCCGCTGGGGACTACGCACGGAGTTTCATGCCGAAAACCACTCCAGCTGCAGGTACACAAGAGACTAAGGGGTGTCATCGTTGCGGTGGGCGGCACTCTCCTGTAAGTTGTCCGTTCATGAACAGCCGTTGTTTTAAATGTAACAAGAAAGGCCATGTAGCCAAAATGTGTAAAACTAGGGCGCCTATTCATTGCCTGGCTAATGATGCAACGCGTGATGAGTTGTTGACACTGTGTCACACAGACCGTAGGTCGGGCACGCCTGCCATTGTGGTGCCGTTGCTGATAAACGGAAAAAAGATTTCGATGGAGCTAGATACAGGCGCAGCCGTATCGGTAATGTGTGAAACAGAATGTTTAAAACATTTTCCCGATGCAAGTTTCAGGGAAACAGATGTTAGGCTAGTCACCTACAATGGCACGCCTGTCACGGTCAAAGGTATTATGGATGTTGATGTAGAGTACCAGAGCCAACACGTTCGCTTGCCACTAGTGATTGCTAAGGATAGCACAGGGGCTAGAATGCCAACATTATTAGGGCGGGAGTGGCTAACGAAAATAAAACTCGACTGGCTGAATGTGGTACGGGTGCAGAACGTACGGGAAGAAGCACAGATAACTGATAAGTACCGCGAGGTATTTCAACCAGGATACGGGGCCATTAAAGGGTTTCACGCTAGTATTGTGCTTAAGAAAGGCGCTACTCCTGTTTTTTGTAAAGCGAGACCAGTGCCATACGCGTTACGCGAGCAGGTAGAACAAGAGCTGCTTAATATGGAGAAGGCAGGCATTGTGTACCGCGTGAGGCACAGTGCTTGGGCCACCCCACTGGTGGTTGTGCCGAAAAAGAATAATGGCATTCGACTGTGCGGGGATTACCGGGTCACCGTCAATCCTTTCGTGGTAGTTGACCATTACCCTCTACCGCTGCCTGAAGATATATTCACCACGTTGCAAGGTGGAGCTGTGTTTTCAGTTCTCGACCTGAGTAAGGCGTATCTGCAACTGGAATTAGATGAGCACGCTCAGGAACTGCTCACCATTAACACGCATATGGGCCTTTTCCGGTACAGGCGCCTACCCTATGGTGTAGCCTGTGCACCAGCCGCATTTCAGGCGGTAATGGACCAAGTCCTGAGGGGCTTGCAAGGCACGGCTTGCTATCTTGACGATGTCATCATAGCGGGAGTTAGCTACGAGCAGTGTCGTGAAAGAGTCACCGTAGTATAGCTGAATGGTTGCGATCGAAACTCCTTATCAACGGTGAGCGTTTTTGGGTAGAAACAGGAACGAATTGATGATTCGAAAGGGGAAAAAAGTTTACAGATCAACTGTTTACTGTTTTTGTACTTTTTTCTACTCTCTCAAAATGCACTCCCCTCTCATTTCATCTATTTATATAGGTTCAGAACTCGCTCCCCGATCAGTGTGCGCATTGGTGAGGGATGCCAATGACGTACGCGAAGTTCCCGAACCAATGTTTGAGTATAGTCTTTGGGGTGGAGGTGTATTGACTAGAACGAAAAGGGGAGGTGTCAGGTGTTGCTCACACACAACTGTTGCTCGCCGATCAACATTAGCTCACCGTTAACAATCTTAAAGTCTATGCACCAGCGGTGGCGGCAGTTCCAGAAGTGATTGCCCTCTGGGTGCCGACGTTGTGCACGGAATGTTTCAGTGAGTACAGCAGAAACAAGGCGCGGAAACAACGAATACGAGGGTGCAGATGTCCTGCAAGCCCTATTCCTAAGGTCGGCTGTGTTACGCGTTGTAGAGGCCATGATTCGTAAAAAAGACATTGCCTGGCATGTGCAACTACCGTAAAAGGCTTACTGTTGCACTTGTTGGATGCCACTAAAACGACACGCGTCTGCAATGGGCTGTGTCGTGTGCTTCAGCTGCAGCTGTCTTGTGCTGCACGGACTCGGCACTACCTAGCCTTGCACGACAGCTGCAGTTTTCGAAACGAATACCAAGGTACCACCGCCGCCGCGTCGATCTCGTGAAACGGATGGATGAATGGGTGCCATTAGCGTCCCCTCTATGACGGGCGGGGACATGTGTGTCACCAGGCTCACAAGAAAAAAATTATTTTTTTTAATGTTGGTCTAATGCGTTATCTACAATGACTAAATCGATCTTAATATAACAAAGAAACATTTCTATTTGTGTTCCATTTTTGTGCCTCTTCAGGCAGAATGACCTGATTTTCCCACTATTTGTGTTCTTTATCTCTACTTTTCTGCCCACAGTACTCTAACCATCTCTTACTTGCTTCTACCCTGGATGTGCTAAGCTTTCCATGTTTTTCCCTGAAACCCAAAGCCCCATGTAGGGTTGTACCCACATGCATATACCTTATTTCCTTATTTCCTTTCCTTATTGCAAAATTTTGCACATCCTGCCTCTATTGATAAAACTAATGCTTTATAATACGCTTATTTTGTCTCATAATAATTTCTGTTTTTTTAGGGTAGGGACTCGTATTTGCACATGCTTGTGTTCTCGACTGTATGTCTCGCCCCAACGCGGTGGTCTAGGGGCTAAGGTACTGGACTGCTGACCCGCTGGTCACGGTTTATAATGCTGGCTGCGGCGGCTGCATTTCCGATGGATGCGGAAATGTTGTAGGCCCATGTGCTCATATTTGAGTGCATGGTAAAGAACCCCAGGTTGTCGATATTTCCGGAGCCTTCCACTACGGCGTCTCTCATAATTATATGGTGGTTTTGGAACGTTAAACCCCACATATAAATCAATCAAGCGACTGTATGTCTTGTGCATGGAGGCTTCGGCTTTCTTCAAGCGAATTGTTTCGCTTTTCGCCCAAGCTTGCCCACATCGTTCGAGATGTAAATAAAATTTAATTTGATTGGATTTATACCTGGGTAGATATCGCCGCATTCAATCAGAACACGTTTCATCATTTCCTTAATCCGCCCTCCCCCCTGCATATACATTGTTCTTCTTCTTTACTGAATCTCGCTTTATGACTTGGCGTTCTAAGGCAACCCAACCTCGCTTCGAACAGTAAAGTGCTTTCCCTTGAATTGTCATTCTCTCGCTTCTTCGTGAATTATCACAAATGCCGGAGCGCAGCGCCTCCATCAACTGGTTCACGAAGCGCAAATGAAACGAACGAGTGGGAACAATGCATAAGTTTCCCGCTTCCTTGGCAACTCTCCACCCTTCCCACAGCCAACAAAGAAGTTGCCAAGCCGCCCGTGACTCACGTCTTATGACTCACTTCCCTGACTATGATCAGGCCATTGTGTTTCTCTCAGCGGCGATGAGTCAGTACAGAGATAAGAGAGATGGTTGTTTTCGGGAGTGATGGAAGGCGGGGGGGCAATGCAAGTCATACGTAGGTGAAGAGCATGACTCACACATCAATGCCATGACACCCACAGCGTTGTGCTAGCTGACGTCAACGCAACACCACGTCTCCGCTAACAGCTTGTTATTCTTCAGGCTATATTCTTATCACTGGTCTCCGTGAGTCCTACCCCCCCCCCCCCCCCTGATTAGCGAGTTAGATGCCGGCACAAGTCATTCAAGTCGGAAAGGATCATTCATTATAATACTGAGCGCATGACTCAAAACACGGGACAAGAAAACTAAAGGCTCTAAAGGGAACTAGAGCTAGCCTCTTTTAGGTAGCATATACATATACCCAATGGTAACATATATAGCAACTTTAAAAGGCTCTGCCAACTTTAACTTTGAACGCGCTCTGCTAACCAAAATTTATTAGAAACACATGTATACCTTTTCCCACGTATATCTTATTCCTTCCTTTCAAAAGCCCGAAGGACGTGGAAACACAACTAGGAGAAACAGCTGTCGACGGAGGTCGTAGTCATCATTATAGGTAGTTATAACTGTAAAGAGAAAAGATTATTTGACACGGTGGGCCGGCAGTTTGACTTTGGTGGCCTCAGGTGGTGGCACCGAGTTCCTGGACTCGGGCTACATCCTCGGCCTGCTGGACGGCCTGGAGCTGCGTGTTCAGCTACGAGCTTTGGAGGGTCGCCTCCCAGTGGCGGTGGCAAGTTTTTTTTCTTATTGCGACAGTATTACCCTGAACAAACTTATTTTCTAGATTTACTTGTACTGTTCCCAACACCACACAGAGAGGGAAAAGGGGTGGCGAAGAGGGAGTGGTAGTTTTGAAGTGAAAAGTGCACCTTGCAAGCGTCTCTCTTCGGGAGGACCTCCAGCAGTTGTGGTGGTGATGGTGGTGGTGCTAATGGTTCCTGAAAAAGAGAAAATGTACCGACTTTCTGTCCACCGTTAGGCGACACGACACAGTCCCTTTTGTGGGATGGTAGAAGAGGACAAATAAGAGTAGAATACAGAATGAAGGAGAAGAGCAGAAGACGGTGGCCGCGAGTCCGATGCGGCAAACTGTAGTGGTGGTGATTAGAAGAAGGCGCCTAATTTTCGCAGCCCGGTATGGAGCACGGCACAGCGCCTAACAGTAGTGCACAGGGGAAGGAGTGGGGGAAATAAAAGATTTGTTCATTTATTTATTTACCGAATACTGCAAGCTCAAATCAGGGCCATGCAGGAGTGGAAACAACCACTTGTATAAATAATGAATTGACAATCAATCAGTAGTCTACGCATGCAATGTACACACAAAAATAATACTCTCATACAAACAGGTGTACATATAGCAATTCATATTCAACAACATTTTCACCACATAAATCAGTAGCAATTCGTGACCAGAGTAAGTATATGTACACAAACACACCAGTGCAAACTCGCAATACAACACATGACACATCAATAGGAGTATGATTGCGTTAACACATTCTTGTAATCACGTGCTCAAATTTGGGTGCACGTTAAAGAACCCCAGGTGGTCGAAATTTCCGGAGCCCTTCACTATACGGTGTCTCTCATAATCATATATGCTGGTTTTGAGATGTTAAACCCCACATATCAATCAATCAGTCAACATTCTTTTAAGCGGCTGGGATTATACGTGCACGTACGTGTAATCCCAGATAAAGAAAGAGGGGGGAGAGGGGTGTCATTGACGAGAAAATTTGGCTCACAGCCCAATCAGGAGAGAGATGCGGAGAGAAGGTGTGTCAACGCCCTATCACTGAGGGGACATCGGCTCAATGGCCCAATCGGAGCTGTTGGCGGGGCAGTAGCCTTTCCCCTAGCCGCGCAGAAGGTCTCCGTAAAACACGGGCACTGAAGTCTGCAGAGCTCAGTGATTTTGCGATAATACAGCCAGCCATACGAAATGGCTGATCCCTGCGAGGCTAACCCGAGTGCATTGGTGAACGTGCCGGATACGAGATATAGGCAACGTCTTTTACGTAAGTATTAACGTTTCACGACGTCGTGTGTGATTTGGCGTTACGTTTCAAGGTACCGTGACAGGCAGTACGTGGTGTTAAAACTGCAATTGGTTTTGAAGAGACGTTGTCCACGCTGAATTGAAGCTACAGCGTTTCTATAGCTCTACGCTCGAATGTGGAACCAAGTATGCGATCTTCGTTATATCTAGAGATTTTGAGACACCGAGAAAAAGCTGAACATTCCCGCTGATTCAGCAGACGGCCTTGAACTTATGTTTCCGGAGCCGCACAGCTTGACTCTGAGTCATATGCTGTAATGTGCTCGGTGATGGCGGCGCAAATGCCGAAATCGTATATCCCAGAGTTTCATGGTGTGACGTATTTGCATCTTATGTACGCTCGCAATTGACTGCTCATGAACTCCGTAATATCGCCAGAAGCTGACAAGACGATGGTGGAGTTATCGACGAGTAACTTCCAGATAAATAACCCTGCTGTTGCCAACAGAACAAAATGATTTAGGCGCAATGAACTGCCAATAAGGCTGTAATTGCCATAACATTATGGAAGAAGTTTAACTTTGTTTAGCTGCCACTCGTCAGCTGGTCTACCTTTGGCAATCACCACATAAGTCTTTGCGTCAATCTTGGTCTTCTTTCGTTCTTCTACTCAGATTTTTTTTATACTACTGAAAGTGGGCTTTCGTGTATAAACTCCTAGGACATTGTCATACTTCATGTTAGGCTAAGTTCTCCACCACATTTTCTTGTTTAAATTTTGCCGTCGATCTGGATGAGATGTGTCCCGGAAACAAAGGCGAGGTTTGGGAGCTGGGCAGTTACGAGGACTGGGTGTTCAATCTAGCCAACACGACGCGCCTCCATAATCCTCGAGTGTCGACTCCAGTGA